ATGGTCAGTTTGATTTGATGGGTGCGGCAATCGAAAGAGATGACACAACGATTATTTCTGAAGGTATTTTTTGTTCTTTTCGTGAACACGTGAAAATTTCTGCTTGCCTACCCCTTGCTTATATTCCTTCTTTATACTTCCCTCTTTGTACCATTCCAATAAAATTACTAAAAGTGGTATTTAACTGTTAGCAACAGATGATTTAGTTGGAATTAAAAATGTGATTATCTTCCAGTGCTTAATTTGATCACGACCTATCACGGCAAAGAATCATCACTGGCTGATTTTTGCATTGCTTTATTAGAACGTTGTAAAAAACTCATGCAATGCGACTGGTGCAGGTAAGCAGAATATGGTGCATTCTTAAATGAAAGCAAAACAAATTGGCGATATCTTTTTGTTTCAACTATAAATTTACTGTTATTAAACAGCGTTGTACTCATTTATTTTGTTAGATGAAAATCGTCATGAAAACATGACTATTATTACTATTTATGAATTTAGCTCGATGTTTTAGCTTTAATTGTTTTTCAGAATAGTGATTTCCGACTTTCTGGTCCGAAGCTTAGTTATTATATTGACCGGGAAATCGATTTAGATCGGGTGCGTTTTAAAATTCTGCAACATTTCCCTCGAATTCAATTTTGTTTTTCTAAAGCGAATTGGAATTTCTTTGGTTAAATCTGACTTCCACTGAAATAAAAATTGCAGATAGAAGTTATCCTTGATTTATTCGAATTATGCACTCCAAAAAAGAATATGGAACAACGAGATTTGGAAAATGCTCTATCCAAGATAGTCATTTTCTGTGGTAAATATATTTTTATATTCTAAACAAAAAAAAAAATACTCCATTTAAAGCTCGTTATGCTAAAATGTGCATCGTAGTTTGTTATCCAGGTATTTTCCATCTTCTTCATTGAATCATGTATGTTTATATTACAGTTAAGCGGGAAAATAAAGCGATGATTACGTTAGTTGAAGAGAGATTAAAATGTATTGGTGTACGATTGACTCCGGAAATGAATTCATTACTGTTGAAATCAAAAGGGCAGGATTCTGGCATCACTGATGATAAAAATACACCATTGTCATAATTTTATTAGCCAATCGTGATTTTAAATAATTAAAATAGACTCACTTGAACCATTTTGCTAGCCATTATCCAAAGTGGAAACTGTGAGTGCTGTCGATATTGACAGTACTAATATCTTTTTCGAATTATGTATTCCTTGATTGGCGCTGTATTGTCATATTTCGAAATGGAACTTCATGCTTTTAAGTTTTTAAATCTAATTTTTTGCTGTGATTCCTTTTAAATCGTTCTTTTGTCTATTAATTATTGTTGTTTAGGTGTTTGTATTCTTTTAGCTTTGCCTATAAATTCAAATGAATAAAAGATTACTTCATCATCAAGAAATTGGAGTAGAAATACAAAAAATGCTTTTTAAGACATTAGAAGACGGTTTTTCTATTCATTTGCCAGGAATCACTTATTGGCTTAAGGAAGACGAATTTATTTTCCGCAGAAGGTATTTCAGATTTTGAAAATCATCCAGTGAGAAACAACGCAGTTTTCTTAGAATTCCTTGAAATAATTTAGATTACGTTCGGAAAAATGATGTGAAACTTACTGTAATGACATGGAACATGATGAAATTCAATGAAATCATAAAAATTTCGTTCCTGTCTCGATGTTCGATCTTGGCAAACATACGCTACACTTCAGTAATACATTTCGAAAGAAATGTGAGTTCTCAAACGTCGCCAAATGAAACGACTCGTGTTCGATGGAGGAAACGCAGTTGGAGTGTTGATGTAAGCAGTTTGAATTATAGTCTTATGTGTTTGAAAGATCAAATAGCGGGGAATAAAACGTTTGGACTGTTGACATGTACAAAATCTGTCCCGGGAAAGCCGCTAAATAAGCTAAATTTTATGTTTTTACCATGAGAGACTTCATAGTAGGAGTTTTAAATCTGAAAAATTAAAAATTTTTTTGCCGAGCTAAAGGATTGCTTCAAAGTGGCATTTGTAGGTGTACCCTTGTGATCCCAGCACAGTTAACAATCATTTTCTTGGAAATAGAAATTACTGCAAATGTTTATATTTATTTCAGTGCAACATAAATTTCAGCCCGTGGTGAAGGATACATTCAATGACATTATTAAAGGATGTCGTTCGTTTACCGCAGCTGAGACGCAAAGAGCCGTAAATCAGTTTAATGATCTGTAAGTTTTCCGGGATTTTCGTTGTTAATTAGTAATTCTATCCCTTGTTCATAAGCATTTTGCTAAAAATTATTTTAGTACGACGAAAGCGAAAGTGTCCGACTATATGGCTGTTAAGATGGCATCAGTTGTAACGACTCATCTTGGCTGGAAGGAAGGGGAAAAGGTTCTAGAAATGCATTATATGTCTCACGGTGCGGGATTGAGATTCGGTTCGTTTTCTTTTTTTTTTGTTTAGATCAAACTTTTTCGTTTTCTTTTTCCTTCATTTTCTTTGTATTTTTTCTTGTAATTTCTCTAGTAATTTCTCAATTAATAACCAGTTACAGTAACAATTATCTGGTTCATTAACCAACAATTTTGTAGTTTAGCAGGCGAAGCCTCAGTAATGGATGAACAAGTGGAAGGAGCTGTACGTCGAATTTTTGATAATATAAATGAAGATGCATATAAAATAGCTCGTCAGTTCTACTGTCGCCTTATTGATTTAAAATTTTGCAAAGTGAAAGATTGTGTTTTCAGAATTTTTATACAAGGTTTACTCAAAAAGTAAGTTTCATTTCTGATCTTGTAGAAGTTATAGTACTGATGTTCTGATGATACGATGTTATGTAAGTTGGTTGGCTTAAAGACACATCGCGAACTTAGATATTTACTTATAATGCGCATAACTGATTCTTTGTTTAATTTATTCCTCGTATGTTTTCCAACCATATTCTTCATCCTTGTAATCTTTCGGTGAATCACTGTTTTCTTATTTCCGCTTAGTTCTGTGCTGGACATCTTCTGATCACCAGTCATATTTGACAATCGGAATTCTTCGGTTTCTCGGTTCTACACTTTTTTTTGCGTGTCTGCGTTTTTTTTTGTTAGCCATTCATGGGTACAACCTTTTTCGGCAATTCTCCATATTTAGCTTTCAGCTTTTCCTCCTTGTTTTGTGATGCATCACTCTTATCCTGCCGTTCCACCTCCTTTACACCCCTGTTATTTACGCTTTTCCATCATTTAAGTGCTTGTTTGTTGTTTAATTCTTCGAAATTTCTCGTCATATAGTTGTCTCTGTTTGTTCATTTACCTAAGTAGCTAGACACAAAAGTGGTATTTTGGTATGAATCGTGCCAAGTAGGTAGTGCCAGTATTTGTGCTCAAACATGCTTGAGCAACATTAAAGCAACATCTCTGCGGGTTGTCAGTAGACTTATGAGGATGCTATGAACTATCAATCATATTAGCCTTACTTATGAAGGAAGTGAAGAAGAAAGAAAGCCATTATTGATAGCCATTTCTAAAACTGTCTGAAGCTCGTTATCAGATTTTGAATTACACCTAGAATTTTAGATTATAATTTTATTGCTAACCTGAACTGATATTTGGTGCAATGTAAAGATTCAGCGATCTATAGTATTCCAGCCTTGTTATTGAGTTCACCACATTGAGATAATACGGTACGAAAAATAGTCTTAAACACTTTTTATCGTGTTGGAATTCGTATCCTTTTTGAGCCACCTTTGAAGGACAAGTAGAATTAGTTACAAGGATTTGTTCAGTCAATTTCTTTTCTTTATCAGTTTTTATCAATTCGGTAGAAACAAAGAGTGATAAAAGTGATAGTGGTAGTTGATGAGGAACACTATCTTACTGAATAGAAAATACGGCCCACTAAGTCCTTACTTTAAGATTAGATATAGAATCTCGCAGTGTAAATTGAAAGTCCAGACGTGGAACGATAAGTCATGGAGGAAACGATGTTTTAATTTTATTAGTAACAGTTTTTCTTCACATCTCCATTTGCCTCGTCTCCCCTCCTATGTTCACTTCCTTGTCCTCTATCCTTTTCTGTTACCGATTTATTTTTCCGTTATAGAAGCGTTAAAAATGACTTCACTGTTTTCTAACTTCTGCATTTGCATCCGAGAGATCTCTAAATCTTGGTTTAAAAGAGATCACCCGAGTATAAACGAGTTCTACACTGTAATAGTGATGTCCAGCGTTCAGTGGTGAGTAGTTTAAAAACGGTAAAGTGATTTGTTATGGAAATAGCCAATTAGTGGTAAATTGCAATAATATATTGGAGAAAGCATAAAGTCATAATAAATAAGCTCTCTAGTGAGATCACTGACTATCTGATGACCTCTGATGATAAGATCTATGTTCAGCTTTTGTTGAAATTCTTCTGTTGCTTGCTTTCCGAAAAGCTAAACGTCCTTTTTTAATGTTTTTTTAAGGAACAATCTGCAGCAATTATTATTTAATCTCGAGAGATTATCAGTACTCCATTTGCTCCCTCGAAATAGACTTTGTCTTGTTCTTTACATACGTTTGTTCCCATGCATTCATTCCTTGTCGGATTGGTCTATAGTATTTAAATCCTTTTGAAATAATTCCGTTAGTAAAATTTACCAAAATCTCTCTGTTAGCTGCATCGCTGCCCGTCACTCAGTGATCAGATCTAGTGGATACTATTAGCAAAAACGTTATAGAACCTGTGAGACACCTCGTGGGCTTTGAATATATTTTCCGGGAAAGTTACAAGGATCGGCCCATATGAGATCGTTGATGAACCCAATGTCAACAATATCTATTGGTCTGCAAATCCGTTTGAACTGATTCCAATTAAGATCTTCCGAAATTCCTCCATGTGCTGCGAATATGCGTTCTTTAATCAACGCTGCGAATGGCATACAGTTAAAAGCCCAAAGTTTCTTCATTGTTTATTCCCTCTGATTTGTTTCTTGAAACGAAGCATTTATCTCAACTACGCAGCAAGTATCTTGGTTCATGCTGTCGACGTATTCGTATCCGACAAATTGGTTATTCACCGGTCTCCCATCACACCATTATTGGAAGATATTAGTCCTTTTTTCCTAATTTGGTCATTAGATGTTGGCTTGGTTGTCACAGAGAGTCCATCGTCTGATAGGTTTTCCAAATGCATCTTAATCAATATATTGAAAACCAAAAATTGTTGGAAAAATTCATATATGTTGGTATAATGTTCAGAGTTGAGCCTCGTCACTCTTTTTTGGGAATCGTTGAATGCATTCTTCAAAAAACCCATATATTCTGTTCACAGCACGCGTCTCATGATTACCACGTAATATATATAAGTGTTTTGGGTAGCGAACCTAAATGCCATTTAAAACTTGTAATTTCAAGTCAGAAAGAAACTCTCAGAAGTTCATGTCCATTATTGAACAATATCTGTCAGTGGGGGGGGGGGGGGGGGCCAAGAAATGACCCTTAATACAGGTGACCTAGAATGGAATACCTTGTAGACCATCAGTAGTGAAACAATTCCAAGATTCCACTGTCCTCGATCCACGTAATCACCCCTGAATAAATAACGTTTACGTGATGGTGTACCTATTTTTGAGATCATTTTTACCAAATCCTGGAAGAACAATTCCTATGCTGAGTCGATTCTCTCTTTATATGTTAGAAGATGAGAAATTTTGGGAAGTTTAAATCAGAGTAAATGAATAACCGGAAATTGTCCATGTATATTGCCCAGAATATAAACAGATGGATCTATACGCTCACGCACTTCGGATAATGTTATCATTGAATTCATATTATTTTCAGGAGCCATCAATAGCTTCTATGATTTATATAGTTTTTAGCACCATTTATTTTTAATTATCCAAAACATTGAGTTTATTAATTTTCTACTATTTTAACTAAATAGGTTTTCGAAGTTGAGTACATTTATCGTAGCTGTTAGTGATCCTCAAGGATAATAGCTTGAGAAAAATCACATCACTATTTTTATAAAGTAAAACTGAAATTCGTAAAGGCGAGGAAAAAAAATGACCCTGGACGCCTTTCCGACACAATAAACTTACTCGGTAGAAGTTAAAAGTGGTCGTCTAATATGAGAAATCAGAATGAGTTACACTGGATTTTATGTGTCTCAAAAGTACATTTGGCTCATACCGCGATATATTTCTCCAAGAATTTCCACACTTTCTTTTTTCGTTCCAGTAATGGTCTTTGGAATGCCTCACCGTTCCTAAAAGGCATTTATGTGAAACGGTCATTCCTATCAACTTGTTTATGCAGTCGACCACTTCGTCTTTTCATACTCTTAGCAAAGCGAGAAATAATGCAATAGCTTTAGATCGAGAAATGCAAAAAGACTGAATTCTTGCACTCGGTTCATCCTTCAATATCAAAAAGGTATGCAAATTGAATATACCATCTTATTTTTCATCTTTTCACATTCCTCCAATCTCTTTCAGTTGATATGGTTGCATGCATTCTTTCTTTTTTATCTTCCATAGCTTCATATTATTTATATTATCATGCATTATTTGTATTTGAATTTGGAATTTGTTTCTTGAAATCTGGTGACTTTCTTCTGTATTTTAATATGATATTAGAAAATTTAAATGATATCAATTCTCTTCAAGTCTTGCAGGAGTGCATTTTTTACTCTTCATCTCACCATTTTTGAATTCTCAGGCGCTTCAACTATCTTGAGGATCCCTTTCTTTACCCTTTTCACCCTTTTCTTTACCAATTAAAATTTTAAGTAAAAACTATGAAATACTACAGGAATCGAATAAATGAAGCGATTGAGGAATTCGATTATTTTTCCCATTATGGGAAACATAGTTCATTATCAGGTGCAGCATTTTTTGTGCTTCGGGCAGCTTTCAAAGAGAATGACGAATTATTCCAGAAAGGTTTCAGTTTTAATTGTACTTATGATGTACTTTTGCAACCTCGTTTTTGCACGCTTTTAGCTTCCTTAATTTTAATCTATGCTGAGTCTTTTCTACTCTAAGTACAGTTTTGAATTACCTAGTGTCCCGGACTTAGAACTGGTAACAAATATGCATTTTAATTGGATATATACTATATATATATATATATATATATATATATATATATATATATATATATATATATATATATATATATATATATATATATATATATATATATAT